CCTGGGAGTTGGATTTTTTGAGTTTTCTGAAATCTTGGTTTTCCAGGGATCTGATTTACAGAAATTTTAACAAAATTTTCATATATACCTCGTCTGATTATAAATTCTTCCAGCTGTTCAAATCATTTTTTACATTTGTTCTAGCTATAATGGCCGAGGAGAAAAATTAAAAATAAAAAGTGTCTTAAACTTTTGCTGTCCACTTTAGTCCATAAATTACTGATTGCTAGCTCATAATGTTTCTTTTTATTCACTATTGTAGAGGCTGGTCCACGGAGCCAAGCAAGTGTTCTGTGAAGATGGGCAATAATACCAAAACAGTTTAAATCGATATCACTTGTATTATTAGACCAAACTTTCATAGCTTTCTCTAGTGTAGACACTGCTAAAGACGTTTCTTCTTTCTCCATGTTAAAACGTTTAAACTTTATCATTTTTAGTACTCGACAATGTTCTTTGACTGCTAGAATCCATGTTTCCAGTGGAAATATCAAAACTAACTGATCGAAAATTCTGTCAATCTGCTCATGTGAGGCTAAGTACAATTGGCCGTCAGTCGATACAGCGGTGACACAATTTATCAAAGTTCTTCTTGTGATTGTGCTCTCGAAATACTCTGGCAGTGAGCTAAAGTTAATATCTGCCGGCTCCATCTGCCCCAGGTGAATTATCCGAAAATTTGCAGCTTTGTCAAACGTTACATTAGCCTTTTTCGATGTAAAACAGACTCCTGGCATAAACAGAACTTCAGATTCACGGGGAACAGCGCTGATACTCGAAATACCTCCAAATGGTCGGCAACGTCGATCGATATCAATAGTTATTTCAAACAGAACACCCACTAACTGATCTGATTTTTCTTTCTCCAGAATGAATGAAAGTGCCGTAGAACGATTTAATGACGTTGAAAAACAGCTAGAGTTTACCAAGGCTATCTCTGTGTATTTTTCAAATTGTTTAAGCAGATTTTCCAGTTCAACGGGTGACATTCTTTGTCCACGATAAACTTTTAGCTGCTTTTCCAAATAATTTAATTTAAATGCTTGATGTACTTCGAGTAGCTGTCGATTTAAATCTTGTAAGAAGAATCCAAATAGAAACATAAGTTCGATGTTCTGCTGTCTAAGAGCTCGATTAAACAACCGGTAGAGAAATGTTTCACGGGTATACCACCACACAGCTTTCTTTCGAGTGTACGTCGCTTCAAAGTCATTTAACACTTTTATTTCCTTGTCCTTTCCAGCATAGTAGTCTTTTAATGAATCAATAAATCGATTACGACAATTTGCCGGGTAAGGTAAATAACAAAGGAATTCAGTAAAATGTTGCCACCATCCACCAACTACCTTTCCCATTGTGTTATCTTCTCTTTTAAATTCGCTAAAAATTCCATCGTTTTCATGTTTTATATACTTCTGAACGTCCTCTTTCAAATCGTTCAATAAATCGTCAAGGTTCGTATGAACTGCTTTGATCCAAAGAGAAAGGCAAGATGTTTTAAGCCATCATCTTTTTCTCACACAACTATGCCCCTCCCCCGGACTGTTGTCACACCGTCGCGTTTTTTGTTGCTGATTTTGTTTGTTAAGTGGTTCATAGATTTTCGATCACAACTCTTCAGCGTAAGGTTTCTGTGAAATCGGTCAGTAAATGAAAATACTGGAACTGAATTTTTCTTCAATTTAAGAGTGACTTCTTCTTTAGGAGTTATCGTGCATTTCGAAACCATGTCGAGTTTAAGAGAAAGTGTCCTGAAAATTTGCTGAGAGCAGCTTTTAGAAACTGAATATTAAGGAAAATCGAATATAGGTCTGAGTGCTCTGATAATATAACTCTTTCAGGATTAGGTATGCACCGGTATCGGTATTCATACCGAAATACCGATACCGAATATACCGAACTTCGGTATATACCGATACCGAAAATACCGAACTTCGGTATATACCGATACCGAAAATACCGAACTT